TGTTTCACTGAAAATTGCCAGCAGTAGGCAAAAGTCTATCCAGAGAGAAGGAGGACCCTAACACCAATCTGGACTCAGCTAATATTAACATTCACACATTATCAATGTGCAAAAATGTCTTCTGAAGTCTACAATTGGGTATCCTCAGCAATCTATAGATCTACTGAAGACTTCTTTGAGAAAGCAGCAGATACCCAACTGATAGAGTTTGTAGAGTTAAGAAGTGCCACAGAGAAGCTCAAAACTGAGCTTCAAATTGAGGCTTGAATATATTTGAATTAAGAATGAATTGGAACATCCTACTATCCCCTCAGACATGGTGATTCTGAGGAGAGTTTAAATGCATATGTAAAAAGTACATTTCCCCTTTTTAATAAATGCCATTCCTGTTCCAGAACTGAGTGCCTCCCAGATTAACAGGCTGTCTCTCTCTCTGTCATTCCCATAACTGAAATAACTCCAAAAAGGCCGCTATCCCATCACCAAGTCACCCTTTATTTACACGTGGGGAAAGTCCTTGACAGTGGTACAGCTCCCTCAGAGTGAAAATGATGTCTCACGCTCCGGTTTTTAATCTTTCAGCCAGGGCTCCCTGATTGGACCAGATTAACAGCCCCAATCAGGGAACTCATATTATATGGGGTCTACCCACCTGACCTCATTACAATCATTGCAGTTATTTAGCCTTGTTTTGCATAAAACAATAACTTCATGCACTTCTGGGCTTAAGATCACAACTTACATTTAAAAGGACTAGACTAGAAAGTGATAAAAGTGGCCTCCCAGAGTCAGGTGAATTTTGAGACTCAAAATTACTTTGTGTCTCTGGAAAGTTCTACGTTAAATGATCCTGGGTGAGTGTCTCTTGCCTGAATGGACATGCTGGGAGTAAAAAAAAATCTGTAGAATTCATAGCTTTTGTGGACTTATCAAATCCCAGATGCACTGTCTCCGAACTCAAACTTTCACACAGAGAGCTGTAGAGAAACCAGCCCATCACACATTGTAATGAACCATCCAGCCTCCATTATTTAGCAATGGCCTCTAACTCTGAATCGCCTAAGAGGGAAATGATCAGGTGATCACAAGAGAAAACGAACCTCGTAACAAATCTTACATACTACTAGAACCAGGGAGAAATGAATCGGTGTAGAAACCGGGGATTTATTTTGTTTTTTTTTAAAGGTCTTCTTGAGACTTTCCTCAAGGGCTACTTTTTGATTTTCATTTGTTCTTTTCTTATTACATAGAAACTTAGAAGATAAATCATTTGGTCATTTGAGTCGGTCATTTGACCCCTTGAGCTACCCCATTTATTATGACCATGAAACTCCACACCCTAATCCTGTCCTGCCCCCATATACCCTGGAGTTACACCTACCTCCTTCTTCAAAACCAGCAACAGTGACCAGTGGGGGAATTGAACTCATAACCATGGTATTATTAGCACCAGGTACTAGTCATCTGAACTAACCAGCCAGCACCATAATTGCTGATAGTTGTCATTGTCACTATTACAGAGATGAGATTTCAATTCCAGATGTATTAGTTTTTTTTTACAGCTGCTGTGGTAGAATTTGAACCCATGTGTTCCCAGAGCATTAGCCTCACTAACTCATTCATTAGGTCAGTCATAGTGTTGTCTTCTATGTTAACATGTTAACGTATGGGAGCAGAACTAGAAAAATTCATCAATATCCTTGACAAATATTAGCCATTTATTAACTTTAACACAAGGAAAACTTTCATTCCATAGACAAAGCCATTACTTAAATTTGGACAATACAAGAGGCATAAGTTAACAATGAAAGTGTTTTTTAAAAATAAATAACATGCTCTTCTACATCAAAAAAGTCATCTCCCAAAGCATGACTTCCTCAGCCCAGTAAGATCACAGCAAATATATGCACTTAATATTGCATACATATAAAGCTGGAACATTTTAACCAGGGTTTTTTAATCCCTTTAAATTTAAATTTAATAATTGGCATTCATTACAGTAGCATCCACTACATTTTTCCTCGTTAGTAGTTTCTGAATTTATGCAACCTTAAACTAGCAATTCTACTTTCATTTCATGTTCTCCTGGCATCCAGTTAACTGAAAATTTCCTTAGAGACAGGTTTAAAACTGTTCTGTCCTGTTTGCAACCTCCCTCTCACCACTCCATACACCTGGAAGGTTGCTTCTTTTTCCAACCTTTTATGGCCTCCCACTATCCACTATCCACTCCCTCTATCCCCTTGCAGCCTCCTGAAACTTGCATATCTGTGATGAATGCCAGTGCTATAGTGCTGCAATTCTGGGAAGTTAAGGTCTTAGGGATTTGAGTCGTTCCTTAGGCACTCCCATTTATTTCCTGGAACCTCTTGTGCCGTTGCGCACACACTCTTACCAAAACAGTTGGCACAAAGTTTGGGCCTGAAAAAGTCATGACCATATTTGAGTCCTATCCCCATTTGCAGTAGCAATGCACCCCCTGATTCACCCTCTGGAAGTCAGTCAGTTAACAACCTACCTCCAGGATCACCATTCAATTAGAGCTGGTGAGCAGTGTGAGGAGTGTCATGCCTCACTGGGGTAACGCACTAGATATCAAGTCCTGCTATTCCTGGAGTTGTCACAAAAGTTAAACATTTTAGTAAAGAATGAAAAGTCCCCAGTTTATTTGCCAAGCTAACCCAGGTAAACAGAAAACATGGACCGGATTTCTGTACTTAGCAAGAACTGCTATTTATTACAAATGACTAGATTCTAACCACTGGTATACAACTAGGATCAGTCAACATATAACAGTACTAGGTGAAATTCCAATCTCCTTATAAATTCCTCTGCCCGTAACACGCAGAGAAAAAAGCATTGATGTTATGAATGGAGGGAAAAAATATCTGAGGCAGCATTTCAGTGGTACCGGTCCACAGAGTTTGCTGAGATAAGGACAGAAGAACTAACAGCAGGAGTAGGCAATTCAGTCCTCAAGCTTGCTCTGCCATTAAATATGATCATAGCTGATCTCATTGATCCTTTTAATGGCCAGGATTTTCTGGTGTTTGATCTCTTTTCTCCGGGCTATTTTCAGTTTTCACAGGAGGCACCAGCAATTAGTAATGAGCTGCAAAGTCTCTTAGTTACTCATTAAAGGCTCTATCTTACAGCAACCGGTGAAGGTAAATAAACTGGCTCTCCTCATGCTTTAGATACTTTACTGGAGAAGTACACACCATCTACCCCTTGCAGCAGTCAGAAGGCTTCTGCCATCATCGTTCACACCCACAAGCTGTTCAGCTACCCCAGGAGCCAATCAGATAGCTGTTGTTACCTGAAGGTGTTTGGCATCCAGCACAACTGGTCACAACTCTACAAACCGATCAGCCACTGGTTGCTGGCCGAATCTCATTTTATATGCACACACTTGTGCTGGCTCATCGACAAACAGCCTTCCTGATTGCTTGAAAAAATCAACAGTGTAAACACCACTTACAATGAGTTTCAGTAACTTGTTTTTAAAAATGCATTGGTTTTAAAACAGTCCTTTTCAATTTTATTTCCTGATCAAAAGTACAGAAAAATATAATTATATGATCTTCACAGAAGGCAGGAGCTGTTTAAAAACTGATACTATACGTTGAATTAGGCAGCGAAGACTTTCAGAGAGTTATAAGGCTTTGGTTGTAAATCTATACTTAGCACAAACACCCAGTTTCCGTCTTTCCCTTCTGGGCTATTTCCCTGTTCTGAAACCGATTCTACCTCCAGGGCAGAACCTGGACTTTTGTTTTTGTACATCAACCACCAAATTACCCAGTTAATAAATTAAAACAAGCAACAAATTAAAAGCACTGCTGACCAGGAGCAGGGCAACAGTAACAAAAATAAAGGGAGGATAGGAAGAGAGTGATGGGGCTAACTTAAAATGGAGTTGGAGGAGAGAGAATGCACTGCAGATCCCATGGTGGAGACTTCTGGCTAAATGTGTAGAGGCTATCCGTGCACACTGTGTACTCCCTCCCCAAGGACACCATGATACAAACATGGCCACTGAACAGGGGAAGACAGTCAGAAACTGTGACCTCCTCGATGGCCCATTGCCTAAATCAGTTAATGGGCTACATTATCCAGGAAGCACCACAAAATCTCATAGATGTGCCCCAATATCTGCACATTGGCCAAAGCAATCTTAAGTTTGCTCATCCATCATCCCCTTTCTCTCCTCACCACTCCTCCAGAATCCTGTCTGCAACTGCAAGGGCCTGGTAGCATTTCCCCAGTAAAAGTGCTCCCAGTAAAAATTGATACAGATTGTAGATTCCATGAATTAATATAACTTTGATCAGTGCATTTATTGGTTTGAATTATAGATTGGAATTGATGAATTATAGACTGGAGCTGTTGGGAATAAATTGCAATGTATTTTCCAAGCATGGTTATGAACGGATGTTGTGTAAATCTGCCCATGTTTTTTAGTACACAAATAGATTGGAGCAGGAGTTTAGTGTCCTTGGAGCTTAGAGTAATTAAGCCTCATCTCTGATTAGGTTCCAGGTATTATGGAGCTGTAACCTTTACAGACCTGACTAAATATTAACTCAGCAGGTAAGTTGTGTAATGTCAATTAAAATGATTGGATAGTGACATTGCCAGATGTTTCAGATGCTTATTTCAGCAAGGAAACCATCAGAGAACTCAAATCTTCCTGGTGTTTCAATTTGGTAAAAGTAAGTACCTTAGACAAATTAAGGTTTGTAAAGAAGGGAATGTTTCAGTAGTGAGCCATGCTAAGAGGCCCGAAGGATGACATCTGAAACAATCAAAAACAGAAATTGCTGGAGAAGCTTCATCAGAAGGGTCACTGGACTGAAATGTTAACTTTGCTTTCTCTTCACAGATGTTGCCAGACCAGTTGAGTTTCTCCAGCAATTTCTGCATTTTCATTTCAGATCTCCATCATCCACAGTTCTTTGTTTTATTGAATGATGACATCTGTTCTCTTTGTTTTCCAGGTGGAAAGGAAACGCCATATTGGGAATGACATTGTAACCATTGTCTTCCAAGAGGGAGAGGAATCATCACCGTCTTTCAAACCATCTATGATCCGTTCCCACTTCACACGTATCCTCTTCCCTTGTGTTTCCAATATGCTTACTCGATAGAGCCTGAGAGGCTTCGGTTAAAAGATTTATGCCCTTTACAGATTATTCTCTCCTTCATTTCAACATCCTTCACCTCCCACTAAATCATGACCTGTCTACTATGGGAGACTTCACTTTTAAGCCTGTTTTCTCAAAAGCTTTGTCCATGATGTTACTGTTTTTATTTTGCATTGAGCTGTATGCCTGCAGCTTCAATTTGCAACAGACCTTGGAATGGCTGACAATTTTCATGCCTGGGAATTGGGTTTGTAAGTTGGGTGCACAAAGTACTCAAATGACCCAGTGTCAGCAAAAACACCAGTTCATGAGTCCAAATCCGTTTCATTGTAAAGTACGTGAACATTGATTGCATGTTTCTTGACTCCTACGCTTTAGCGTAGTCTGAGGTCACACATGGCATGTCCATTTGGGAAATTCCTGACTATTTGTCAAGTGTGTGGTTTCTCAGTGTATATATCACTGATACTGTGACGTAACTTATCCAATATCTTTTCAATAAATCTCATTGAATCCTGGAAATATGAAGGGTGTGAAAACATGGTAGTTGGGCCTCTGCAAGAACCTCTTCACCTGCTCTGATAAATAAAGGGCATTTTGCTACTCAATATGCAACCCCTTCACCCTTTGCTCCACGTCCTACTTTTAATCATAAGTTACAGGTAGAGTTTCTGGCTTTCTTTTTATGGGATTGAGGGATTAACGTTTGATCAGAAACTGAAATGTTGAGATATACTTGTGTCTGTTTGAACAGCAATGACTTATTACCATAACCTTTGTACTTTTTAACATGAGCATTCCACTGTGTTTTATGGCTAAAGCTGCATTTCTCAGTCTAATCTACATAGTATTAGCTGTTGGATTTTTAAAAAAATCCTTCATGAGATATAGGCAGCACTGGCAAGGCCAGCTTTCATTGCCCATCGCTATTTGGTCCAAAACTGTGTGGCTTGCTAGGGCAGTTAAGAATCAACTGCACCACTCTGGGCTGATTTTGTTTTCTCTCTCTGCTGTGGACATTCTACTGTTGCAATTGAGGAACTTGCTGTTTCTTGAAATTTTCTTTTTTTTTTAACTCCGCTGCATAAGACCATCACCCCTTTCTTGCAATAAATTTCCTCCTGCACTCTTTGACCTCTTCTACAACTACCACATCTGACACTGTACCTTTTATTGTGTTTCCATCATATGATAACCATACCCACCTGCTGCAGCATTGAAGACTTGTGCAACTGATTTAAATGTGCGCGGCTGTGAACTACACTTTGAATTTACCAAATTTTTAGATTTGGTTTTCCCTTACTTTTTATGACTGTCCTCCACTGCAGTGCGAAAACACAGTAATACAGGAAATGCACTGCAAAGTGTCAGCAGAACACAACTACTGAAGGAGAGAGACTAAAAGGTGAATCTAGGAAGTAGTAGAACAAACCTTCTTCTCTTGCTTGGTATTATCCAGACATCCCAGAATTCAAACTCCAAGAAAAGAATAATCGTAAAAAGTAAAGGAATACCAACGATAAATGTTCTAAATATCTCGCTGATGTTAATTCTGCATTGGTTATGGGTGACAGGGAATCATTTGTCCAATTTCAATCATAATTTACCATTGAAGCCACCAGCACTGTGTAATGTTATAATACTGTTTTATTTGTAAAGAAATAATTTTTTTTCCTTTGTTCACTCACGGGATGTGGGTGTCATTGGCTAGGCAGCATTTATTGCCCATCCCTAATTGCCCAGAGGGCAGTTAAAAGTCAACCACTTTGCTGTGGGTCTGGAGTCACATATAGATCAGACCAGGTAAGGATGGCAGTTTCCTTCCCTAACGGACATGAGTGAACAGATGGGTTTTTCCCTGACAATCGGCAATGGATTCACGGTCATTGTTAGATTCTTAATTCCAGATATTTAATTGAATTCAAATTCCACCATCTGCCATGGTGGGATTCGAACCCAGGATCCCAGAACTTTATCTGGGTCTCTGGATTAACAGTCCAGCGATAATATTGCTAGGCTATCACCTCCCCCCATAAATCATGTTAAATGATCTCTTGCCCATTAGATTCAGAGCATAATTTTATTAAAAACTATATAGTCCGTTTTGTATTTCACTGTTGTGTTAACTAACTTCAGTATTGTGTTGTAAAGTGCCATTTAAAATAAAATTGCAATGATAAACACATTAAACCAGAAATATTTCTCCCATCAGTAGCTTGAATTGAGAATTTAGAGTGGGGCACAGCTGGTTTTATTAATAAAGTCAAATTATAGCTTCACCGATACAATCCATAAACTGTTTAATTGAAATAAGCATTGAGTTATTGTCTGTGATTCTTTGTTGATATAACAATCACTCACTGAAAGACCAGCAAAACAATTCTAACTTTGTATTATTGATGGTGGAAAATATGCTTCGTTCTTTAGCCTGTGCCACAGATATTTTTGCCTTAGTCCGATATAACAAGCAAAACGATAGCTATCGGTAAGTCAAGACTCTCCCATCCTTTATGTCTTTGTTATATTCTGTTTTGAGGGAATGGGAAGGAAAAGGGGGGGATTACAGCAATATGGCTGGATGTCAGGTAGTGTGCAGTAACACCTGTGATTCCTCAATGGGGGAGCATATTGGAAACCAAGCCCCGCTATTCCACAGATTTAGAAGAATGACGGGGAATGTAATAGAAACATGTAAAATTGTGAAGGGAACGGATAAGGTAGAAGCAGGGAGGTTGTTTCCATGGGTGAAACTGGAACTAAGGGGAATAGCCTCAAAATGAGGAGGAGCAGATTTAGAACAGAGATTAGGAGGAACTTCTTCACCTAAATTGTTATGAATCTGTGGAATTCCCTGCCCAGTGAAGCAATTGAGGCTACCTCATTGAATGTTTTTAAGGCAAAGATAGATAGATTTTTGAACAGTAAAGGAATTAGGGTGATGATGAACGGGCGGGTAAGGGGAGCTGAGTCCACGAACAGATCAGCCAAGTTTTTTTTTGACCGGTGGAACAGGCTGGACGGGCCATATGGCCTACTCCTGCTCCTATTTCTAATGTTCTTATGTGAATCATAACAAGTTAAAGACTTTTTTTTTAAAAAAGTATGCAAAATTCCCTCATTTTCTTGTCCTTTAGACTCAGGTTGATAGAAATTGTAGACCAGATTTCTGTCGAAATTAATAGATTCCAGAGACGAGCAAATAAACATGAACTGTCAATATATGACTCCAAGTTATTAAATAAAACCCTACGAGCACATTCAGAAAGACACAAAAAAGGGTGTTATGGGTAGAGGGAAAGACTGGGAAGTAGTTCAATTGTCCTTGTCCGCAGGATTCACTAAGATGATTCTTGTACCTTCTGGAGAAACTGTTTTCTCCAGGTATTTTCACTTGTTTATAGGAGGCACAGGGTGACTGCTTCAGACTTATAGGTTTAAAGCCACATATTACAGCAACTGATGAGAAGAAACCCATCTCTTCAGGCTTGAGGTGTTCCTTTAGTGCTTGTGACCAAACATTCATACGCACGGGCTGTCTAGCTACGTGGGAACCAATCACAAAGTCAATGGTTGGCAGAAGGCTTTGTCATCAACAACTGGTCACCACTGCACAGACCAATAAGCAATCTGTTGCTGGCTGAATCTCTCTTCGTACATATCCCCGACCCCTGCTTATCTCCACTAACTTCTCCCATTGCTTGAACAAATAGTAGCATAAACACATTTAACTATGTCAGGTAACTTGCTTTTTATTTAAAGTACGGTTACCCTGTCCACAATCATTGATTTTTAAAACTGTACTTTCCCCATTTCAGCCCACAGTCAAAAATACGGAAGAGTAAAAAGATATGTTGTTTTACTGCATGTTGAAGCATAGCCAGTGTAACCATTGGGCAAACCACACAGTCACCCAGAGTAGCTAAATTTTGGGGAATAGGTTGGGATGGCCAGCAATAAACTGAATGAGCTGTTCAGCAAACCACATGAATAACAGGCATTAGGAGCAGGAATGAAAAGTCTAGATTAACCGATATGTATCCACTGACAAACGTATGGACTTCCAAGTTGCAGTCATTCCCAAAATGTCACAATATATTCATTTGTTGTCTTGATGGGATAGTGTTACAGATTACATGACTATTCCAAAACTACAAATCAGTAAATACTAGCCAAAGGTGTAATTGAATACAGCCCGATCCATCTTAAGGATTATTGATTTTGTAAATTGCACATGAAATCGTCGAGTAACTTTTGCAGGAATGTGGTGTTACATGGTGTGTGAGTTGTAATGAATATTTCTTCTTGGAAATATCCTGGGAAAAGTGTAGAACATTGAGAATGTACAATCACTGTCATAATATTCTCCTTGTTCCTGTAACATAAGTTATAAATGCCAAATCTTCATTCATACAGTGTTCACAATGTTTCATTTCAAAAGTCAGCAGTGGGAGGGTGGGGCACAGAGGGTGGGTTGGTGCACAAGGGTAAAGATTTGTCTATGCCTCCCCATAGTCCTGTGTTGGGAATAAGCATTGCCCAGGCCCATGGATTGGGAGCGGGCCGCTCCCTGTACCCCTGATCGCAACGGAACCACACACGCGAAGCAATAAGCTGAGGTGAAACATCTCCTTATGGGTAGAATAGGGAAGGGAAAATCAGACCACAGAGATAACAAGGTGTGGAGCTGGATGAACACAGCAGGCCAAGCAGCATCAGAGGAGCAGGAAGGCTGATGTTTCGGGCCTAGACCCTTCTTCAGAAATGGGGGAGGGGAAGGGG